TTGTTGTTAGGATTTGCGTAACATGTCAAGATTTTAAATAAATGGGAATGAAATGAGGACAAAAGGATAGCTATTTGCAACATTTTCTACGGCAAAAAATTTCTTTCTATTATATAAATAAAGTCAATGGCAAAAGTACAATTCAAGAGGTTTCAAATTACGTTTATAATTAGTACGACTTATTTTCATCAAGGTATAGCTGTTTATCAAGGTATAGTTGTCACTTTTTAATTTTCTGCACAAATACATAGTACAACAAAACATCATGTTTCTCTCTCCGAAGCTGTTATACAATACAATATTTTTTTTATTGAATACGATGCTATCGCAATTGTATTCAGTTTCAATTTACTAAAAATCCTGACGTACTACACGACAATTCTGACGACTACAATTTATTTCAAAGCTGATTGAATAGCACTTTCGATGTCGTTGACTTTGTATAAAAACAATTTTTTTTTGCTATGAAAAAATATTGAAAATAACCAAAATCGCATTCTTGGCATTTCATCCCAATTTACTCGAAATCCGGGTAGATTTTAACAACGGTATCGTGTTCAGCGTATATAGCGTAAAAAAATTTTTAGGATATGTACTGTAACAAAATTGTAGAGAGAAAAAAAAGTGATAAGTTAAACTGTGTAATTAATGGAACAATTCTTTTTAATGTCCACTTATTTATGCAAGTGCGACTTCAATGCCGTTGCAACAATCGCGGTATTTCCTCGTTGCTGACGTCACTAGAGGAGGTGGCTGACGTACACGCATCTATCTTCTTAACGGTTAGATACGGTAAGTCGACGACTATTTACGATTAGGAGGGTTAAGAGAGCAATATCTTTGCAAAAAATCTTCCGTCAAGCAGGCAATTTCGTAGAGTTTATACGATCGAGATAACACAAGTGAAAGGTTCTTCCGGGAAGGCTTTATGCAATAACTTGTTCCTAATTGAATAAACGTTAATGTTACATCAAGTTGCGCGTACACTCAATAATAACATATCTCTAAAATGAAAGGTGCCGTAATTGTTTGTAGTTGTTAATTAACGCTGTGATATTTATTACGTTTAAGTTGTTACACAAACAATATACACAGCTACAATGTTTTGAATAATAATTTTCTAATAAACTTTATATTGATCATTGCGAACTAATAAATATACTCCAGTAGATATTATGCTAATTTTTCGTTCATTTATTGGAAGACTGCGGTATGTTTATTAGTTTGCAATGATTTATTATACTATATTATACTAGTATAATAAAGAAATTAATAGCCTAATGATTTCGTTATCTCTTATCGGTATTCTTTTTCAAGCATCGCGTGGTAATCTGGAAAATTGTAAAAATGGGAAAAGTCAAGGAATACCGCATGGGTCAAGGAAATTGCAAGCTTAGAGAATTTGTCGTCGCGATGACACATAACATGATAATGATTTGTTTAATTCGCATAATTATAATTATTAATAATTAAACAAATCGTTATCTTCTTCCGTGTCATCGCGACGACAAATTCTCTTAGGCTTGTCATTTCCTTGACCCATGCGGTATTCCTTGACTTTTCCTATTTTTACAATTATCCGGATTTACGGCAACTCTGCTGACAGTAACAGACGTAAAGCAATAAAGAATCTCCTATTATTGTCTGCTTGCGATCGCGCCATGTCTGCAAACCAATGACGTTCTCTCAATTGCTTGTGTAATGTTTAGCGACGTATACTGATATACTATATACATGTCTCAGTCTTATCTCAATTGTGCAACATCGATCGCTTTCTCCGTTTCTCGCATCTCCTGTTTTTCGCGGTTCCGATTTACTCCTCGCCACGTTCATTTCTATCAAGTGACAAGCGGTTTGCGTTCAATCGCGATTCGCTTTTAGCAGATCTGTTTGAACGATGTTAAGTGCAAATCAAATGTATCGGTGGTATCATCAACCGTTTCTTCGTCACTCCGTTCTAGCCAAGCTATTTAAACGCTATCCACGTTTGAAATTGAAGCATTCCACTGTCGAGATAGGATTGTGGAAAAAGACTACGAGTTCTTTTCCCAGGGATAATGTACTTTTCTCGGAGATACAGTGAAACGTTTTAACGTTAGGTGTTCTTAAAAAAAAAAACCTGCATTGAGACAAACTGGTTGAAAATGGGAGAACCAGAAAATCCTGATTCGTCCATTTTCAACCAGAATTCCACTCGCAACCACAGATTCTTTTTCCAGTGCGCGAATGTAAATCGAAGATTCTCGTAAAATACTGATAATAATAATCATAATAAGAAAACATCCTGTAAAACTTTTTGCTTCGTAATGAAGATTACAAGGGTACAATTATACAGCGATAATGATCATTAACGTTCGTTAATTATCATATATTGACTGTATCAGCTTTGATTTACATTCATTTGTAATTAATTTCCTGCATAATATGCATATAAATATTTGTAACGCCTATACGTAGAATCGCGAACAAATTGCAAGCATGAAACCGACAAATCGATTACACGGCTGATCCGCAATCAACGATTTCTTCACGAATTTCTTCGCTTACGTAGAACTGCGAGTGTTCGCTTATTAGTCACGGCACAATCTCCACCTTGCCGACCAGATATTTTCGTATACACATGACGCAACACGCCTTGACACAATGCGGTACCACAAATTTCCCGTTAAACATCAAACAACCCAAAATTATTACGCGTTTCCCCGCAAGTAACCCTGCATATATCGTTATACTGAACAACAACTTGGGTGCATAGGCGTAATGGAATTTCGAGCGAAACAATTCACTGGTGTTGAATAATCTTAAAAGCCAGCTGTGCCTCATTTACGGCGTTTTAAACATTTTGGTGTTCAAGCGACAAACACTGGATACATCAGTCATAACCGCATCAACGTCAGATAACGAATTTACTTGAATTCTGGAAAAATAGATTTATTTCTCTCACAGCGAGAGAGAGAGAGAGAGAGAGAGAGAGAGAGAGAGAGAGAGAGAGAGAGAGAAATCAGTTTCACTTTGGAGGTACATACCCCGCGGTATTTTCCAATCGGAGGGATTCCGCGGTAAACAATGAGTTTTTTTTTGTGCAAATAATAGATAACACGCTCGTCCCGACGCTGGCGGATGTTTTCCGTTTACGCCGTCCACTGTTAAACGCGTTAATTTGCCGTCTTTTGCGACTGCGACGCTGCGGAAGGTCGAGTTCGCTTGGAATTGGGAAATAATTGGAAGATTACTGTGATCCCGGTAAAAGCAGCGGACTAATACGACGACAAACAAATAAACGTCGCTTGTCGCCGATAATCCATACTTTCTTACCCTGCATAAAGGACGAAGTATACGGCTGCGTGTTTGGAGGTGCTCATTACGACGCCCGTTTGAACGATCGAATTATGTGCCGTCCATTTTCCAGTTCCTTTTTTTTCCCGTCTTTTACTCTTAATCTCTGTACTTCGCGTTCTCGCTAAAGTTCTTCTTTGAGGCGATATTATGTGAGCCGTACGGTGAATTTATGGATCTCATTAACTACTCGATCGTCGAATATACAAAGCGATATTTTCAAGTTTCTCGAGAATTTATATGAATTCGTAAACTTGTTAGAAAACGATTTCTTGGGGTATAAGCGAAAAATGCAGGGAGCTTTCCGCAAGAAAATTCTCGGAGTCACGATTAAGTGATAAGACTTCGCGTTCTGTAGACAATTTTGAGATATTACTTAAGAGAACCTTACTTCGAGACTTAGTAGCGGATACACCGCAAAATTGCCCGCAGGCAATCGGTTGGCCATTATTGGTAATGGAGAGTTTTAAGAGCTGAGAAATCTCCTGGAGGCTTCTTCCGTAAGTTCCTCGATAATCAATTCAGTTTCGATAGTCTTGTATGCGAAACAGATCTTACGGCCGAGTATCTTCTATGAACATATCGATAATTTACACGGATAAGTCACAAGACTCCTGCGTTCGGAACTGACAATAAAAGCGTATTTAAAAAATGAGAAAGCATCATATGTATATTTTGCGTAAAACCGAAGAGGACTTTTTTCCTTTTTTTCCCCCTCTTTTCGCCAAAGTTATGGGATACAGACTCCGATATTTTTTTTGCGCGCAGGCGGTCGCAAAGCAAATTGTTTGCTTTTAAAACAGCGCTGCAAAAATAGCTCGGATGGCATGTTTACACGCGATCCTACGACGACCGACCGGTAATCGAATATCAGCCGCGATTATTCTATGGGCATTCATCAGTGACACGTCATGCATGAGGCTGTACTTCGTGCGCGGAATAAAGAAATCGTCGACGAAGTTTCGCGATTGTTCACATTATTTGATCCGAAGTCTCGAACTTGAGGCAAGTATTGACCTCGTAAAAAATGGGTGCAGCAAGAAGTACTGCGACATGCCGAGCAGAAACTTCAGCATAACGACAAATATTTAACTTCATCGGCGCACTCTTCCATCAAAATTGCTCGTTCAACGCTAAGTTCCTTAATAATAAGTTAATTAACCACCGAAAAAAAATCTGATTGCACTAATTAGAATTCTGGTTGAAAATAGACTAGTCAAAATCTTCTGTTTGAATTTATGATAATTTTAATTAAGATAACGGAAATTTTTATTGATATGTATAATCCAAATTTTCTGTGCATTCATTTTCAACTAGAAATTTTTCTCAGTGTAAGCAATTTTTAGTTAATCATAAGCGATAATACGGTACGTCGACATTAAAAAAGTATTCTTTTAATAGAATTTAATAGGTCATTTTAATAAGGAGTAACAAGTCACTTTAGTAAGGAAAAAATATCACATCATAATTCTCTATTCTTTTCTTCGTTCGTCGTTTTGATGATTATTTCAGCACCACCCTGTATAAATTCGATGGCCTTTCCCTCTAATAAGAGGAGATCATCAAGACGAACGTTTTCAAAGGAACGGCTCGGTTCATTAAGTTCGAAAGGGTTTCATCCGCGGGAAGGGTAGTTCGGAAGGGTAGTTCGTCGAGGTACTTACGTGGGCCGTAGGTACAGCGTCGTTTCTCCGGCTGAAAGTGGACCTAGTCGACGTCGATGGCGCGTCGATAATAGAATCACTAGAGCACTGCCACCATTGCCGTGTCCTACATTACTTGCCATGCCGACAGTTCCAAAATCACTGCAACAAAGAAAAATAATCGTGTACAAACAAAGGCAATGCCATCCGGTGTGTAATACATCTAGATAATTACGTCTTACGCAAACACCGCCGTCAAACTCGTAACGAGGTATTTTTTTCTTTTCTTTAGAATAGCTTTCAGCAACGGACTTCCGAGAGAATAGAGATAAAAACGATATTTTTTACCGTTCCAGTAAAAGAGCTACGGCTTAATAATAATATTATACAATAGCGCATGTGCGTATGCAAAATCAGTTAATTGGACGTGAACGCGTTGTTTTTCAATACTTTCATTTAGCATAATTATCAATGAGCGATATGCTGGCATGTGTACAGCGTCAAACGTGCGAGAGAGAAAGAGAGAGAAAGAGAGATAATTATCTTATAAAAACAGACTAAACAAGTTTCTCTCATAATAATCGATATCTTGGTAGATTCGCTACATCAAGATGCAACTGAGTAGATCTATAAACACTTTAAATCCCAAATTCCTTTTTAAGCCCATTCCACACGGAACACGATGAATTTTACACTGAACAACATCGTATCCGAAAAATCAGAGCTTTAATCAGATATCGCTCATCACTCATCGCGTTCAGTGTGCAATGGACCTTAAAGTTATCTCGTGCTTTTAATCGATGCACGAGATAATCACGCGTATAAAAAAAAAAAAAAAAAACCAAAAAGAAATCAATTAAGAGAAATAAATCTCTTTTCAGTTCAAAAGCGAATCTTAATGCAAAAATATTTCACAGAGTGAATTTATTTGCATACCCAAGTAGCATACCGCGTAGAAATATTTTTTGGTCTTGAAACGCAATTATGAACAGAATTGGAGTAGTAATATTAAATATTATATTGTGGCTGAGAGGTAATATTTTTCGCAATTAAAACGCAATTATAAACAGAACCAGAGTAGTAATATCACATGTTACATCCTGGCTGAGGTAATATTTTTCGCGATAAATGAAATTATTTACAGTTCTTAAGATGCTTATAAAGTAGCATCTTGAAAAAATTATTAACAAGCATCTTGAAAGAATATTAATAAATATAAATAATTTAATTTATTGCAAAAAATATTACCTTAGTCAGAATATAATATTATGTGATATTACTACTCTAATAATCTAGTTCTGTCCATGAATGCGTTTCAAGACCGAAAAGGTTTTAGTGCGTGGTTTGGAGAATTGGATATCCTATGTAAATTCACTCTGAAATATTTAAAATCCGCTTTGATCAAAAATAGATTTATTTCTTTTAATTGATTTACTCTCGTCGGTCTAATACGAACCATAATTACTACACATAATTATTCCTTGGAAAACGAAATAATAGTCGGTGACAATATTTCGCAATAGTTAAATAAATCGACTTATTATCCGATATCTCGATATTATTGTGCAAGATATCTAATCGAGTAGAATCTGTTTTGTAGAATCATGCTATTTACAAGTCTTTCGATAGTTGCGATAGAAAGTAGGTCAGCTATCACATATTTAGAGACTTGTCAAAGATCTTATCTTTACAACAACGTCGTTTGAATTTTCAAGTTAAATTGATCGCAGAATATTTCAAAGTCGCGTTCTAAATTTTAAATGTTTCTGTCACACCTTATGTTTCGTAAAACTTTATTAGCAAGTACTTAGGAATTTAAATAGTCTTTTGCGATAGGCTTTTTTTCTATCGTATTGTTCGATGCATGGCAAACGAATTGCGTTTGAATATCGATTTATTCAAGGCAAACATAATATTTAAGATCGATTTTTATGTAAACTCTTACTATCGCGTCATATTTCAAAACTCGTATTAGCAAGTACTTGTGAATTTAAAAAAAATATATATCTTACGCGATAAAAGGCTTTTCCTTTCGTGTTATTAAATTCATGGCGAACGAATAGCGTTAGAATATCGATTATTGATTCATGAAAAGTTAATATAGTTTATGATCGATTTATGTCAGATAAAAATGACATCGCATAAAAAGGTGGCAAAGAAGACACGGGATTTTTCTAAATGCTACGATAAATACGAATATTCCGAATATATTGCAAGTGTACGTAACGTTTAACGTTTTATATCAAGTCACGAATCAGCCTTACCGTAAACGTCTATCATGTGTCGAGTTTTTATATACAGAAAGTCAGAGTGAACGAACGTATTATTCCACGCTCGGTATTATTCTTTTAACATTCAATTGTTCAGCACAATCGGATCTGATTGAAGGTAATTGATAGTATTTGCGTAATGAAAATTAGATATGTTGAAATATTGCAAATATGTATATGTATACTGTCATCGCTATCAATTTTATACGGTATGCAAATACAATTTCCGCTCTTTCTCTTTTATCTTCTCTCTCTCTCTCACTCATGTGTTGAAAGCTTATCCTGTAATTATGAGATAAATACGTTCAAGCGGAAGCTTTGCCCGATGTAAATATAATTTTCATGCTCAAGTACGGTTTATTATATGTTAAAGTGTGAATTCTACCAAAACCGAATCGAAATAATGTTATGTCTTTTAGATATACGTTTGCAATTATTATATATTACGATAAGTAATAAAAAATTTAAATTAATTTTTTAGATATTGTACAGTTATACATATTTGAAGATAAGATTTGTTTATGCCTATATTGCATCTATTAAAATGGAAAACGTGAAATACAAGCAGTCATTAAAAAAACATACGTGATTTAACATAATTGGTTTCATTTCGAAATCAATTTACAAAAATAGATATCATATAAAACCAAATGTAAAATTTTAATCACGCGATTAAGCTCGCGAATAAGAAATAGTTTTACATATTCTTTAATAATGAATGTGATGAATTTATAACGATTCAAAATAATACAATAATATAATTTTTTCGTAACATTAAAAAAAAATATATAGTAATTTAAAAAATAAAAAAGGTGCAATATTTGCTTAAACATTTATGATCCTAATTGAAGCATTTATTGTTATTTTTATAAAACTCGCAATTTTCCTTAGGAATCTGATAAGTAAATTCTTGACATGTACAGATTCCTGATATATAAAAGGTTTGATATCTTCAATTCATTATCCAAATAAAATGTTTTCGTGATCGTGCGATAATCAATGTAATATTTATCTGCCAAGGATTATTGGAATTATATTGGAATTCGATCAACGATAAATGGATTTTCACGCAAGACAATATTAAAATACTCGCGACTCGATATCTTTTTCTTGTTTTGATCTGCTTCCTTACAAACGGCAAGCATCGCAAAATGTTGCAGGAACGGAAAAATTTCAATATATTTCTCGACGAGGCTAGATTATATAGAAGCGCGACGAGACGGCGACGATGGCGACGAACGAATGTCCGCAAGTTGCCGAACCGACCACGCGTCCACTCGTTTCGTCCGTATTTCGTCCCACCTCCGAGCAGGTTGTCGTACACACACTTTCGTAATGGAATCCCAGTTATTTCAAAGGCACACATGCACACACACACACACGCGCGCGCGCATACATAGGCATA